AGGGAAGTGTGTGTGTGTATATATATATATATATATATATATATATATATATATATATATATATATATATTTATTATATACACACACACAAAGAAAAACAAGTAGATAGAATAGAAAAAATAGAAAGCTAGTGTTTATTTTTTTTGTTTTCATTTGATTCATTTGATGATGCAAATGTTGTGAGCAGGAAGTCTGCTTCGTGCCATTGATGACTGATTGATATCAAAGGCAAATGATATCTCTCTGCCTCTCAGGCATTTTCAAACTTACCCTAGTCATTGCGGTACTGATCTGACTGATGTTGTCTTTGTATTTTTCTAAGCTCAGCACCTTCAGTATTAATATTTCCTCTCTTACCTTGTTTGGGAAGGTGGAAACCACACATTTCAATTTACAAAGATTTCAAGGTTTATTCATGCTTAAGATGAACTGAGCAATGTTTTGTCAAATGTGATTTTTTTTTTCTTTTTCAAAGCCAAAAATTAAATATGTAAAAACAAAAGTATTGAAAAGTGTCAGTTTGTAATCACTGGTTGTATGTGGATTGCTTACATTGTTTGAAGACAATCATTTCATCCTCATTTGACATTCTGAATTTAACATTCACAAACTAAATCAAAATAAACATCATACCCTAAATGTGCTGAATGTTCAAGAAGTGTGTGTGTGTGAGAGAGAGTGAGGACAAACTGTTAGTTACAGATTTTGTTTTATTTTTTTAGGTGCACCATAAAATGTAAAATATTTTATTGCTCTTTTTGGTGTAGGTTCGCACCTCAGACCTGGGAGGCTACGCGACAAGCGATGAGTTCACCAGGGCTGTCATCTCTAATCTGGCCATCTAAACCAATCCCAGCGCACTCCACAAATATCATTTTAAGCACAATCTGCAGCACTGGTTGTCCAGTGTCAAACTCTTTTGGTCCAAGATTTGAAGCCTTGCTATTGGCCTAACTTTTAGATTATCACACAGTGTACAATAGAGCTCAAGATTCATATGTTGTCTCTATCCAGATCCACTGATATACCAGACTGTACTGCTTTATGATGCTGCTTTAAAAATATGTATTTATTCAGCTATTTATTACTTAATTGCAATTGCTACTTGTTTAATCGTTACCATTAATAAAATAGTAAATAATATTCTGGCAAGTATGTTGTCTTTTTTTAGTAATATTACTCTAAATGAAAACTGTATGTGCTATACAAAGTGATGGCCTTGCAACAAGAGAAATGTTCCATTAGTCATCTACAATGACCATGTTTACATGGTTGAAATATTATAAATATTATTTAAATATGTACAAGTATTATATAGAAAAAAACAATAAATATTATGCCAGAATATAATAAAAACAAAAGAATGAGTATCACTTATTCATAAAATCTTTATGCAATAAAAAAATGGTTTGGAGTCAGACTATTTCTTTTTTTTTAATGCTGAATGTCCTCGTTGTTATTAACTAAAAGTTTCCCACCCAGAAAATATTAGTAGTATTGAAAAGTAATTTCAGGTAATGCATTAACTAAAATTAACAATGAGCGGGTTTTTTTACGTATTTATGATGTTTTACAACTTTTGATTTTAATAATGTATTAGTAAATGTTGAAATTAAACATTAAGATTATTAAATGTTTTTTTTTATTATTAGTTCATGTTAACTAATTTAGTTAACACATATTAACAAATGGCATCGTTCATTTTATAGAATACAAAAAAAAAAAATGATTATGATAGAACTGTATTATATTTAGGTTGGGATAGCAACTTAAACCTGCTAAACCAGCCAAACATCTTAGACTTGATTAAGATGAGTTTCTTTTTTCAAGAATGATGCACTACATTTTATGGGATACATTACATAAAATTATTTTAAATGAGACAGACACTGACTGATATAATTTATCAGCTGTTCAAAATTCACGCCAAATCCCGAACACTGAAGAAGACCTGAAGGAAATCCCTACAGTTAATCTGCATATGCTTCATTAGAGCTCCTGTCGGACTGCTCTGCTCTGCAACACGCAATATCACAACCGGCCGCAGGGTGGCGCATTGCAGCTAAGCGCCTACTGTACATTCCTCTTTCTTGGAAGCAAGCCGTCCGCCAGATGTCGCGGCGTCTCTGCGTGGGAAGAGGAGAGGAGGGGCCTGGCCTGGGAATCCGCTGCTTCCCATTCCAGGCGCAGGGGCACAACATGGCGGATTAGGAGGCGAGCGACGCGCCCGGATACAACCAACAAATCGTGGGATACTGATTCCCCGTGTCGCGGAGAGGGCAGGAATATAAGCTTGTCGGAAAGCTAGCGCACACCTTTAAGACTTCCCGAGACATGCATTTTGGATACCAGTAAGCGCCTTCGTTGCTTTGCCCCACTCCAAATTGGCTGTCTGTCCGAGATCATTCCTATCACCCAGGCCCCCCACCCCGAACACACTCTCGGTTCCTGGGGTGTGGAGACAGGGGCCGGGGAAGTGGAAAACAATCGCACTTTATCTGGAACATCAGGCTCCGTAGTGCGGGACAGGGCTGTCAAGGTGAGTTACATCGCCGCTTCTCTGAATATATTAACAGCGCAAACTTCTGTTCATCGCCACAGTTTGTCTGATATCTATCCCTTGTGTCACTCAGGTTTTGTCACGTTAGTGGGTCGTCTAGCCAAAGAAAGCAAAGCCTTTTGTGGCACAACAGAGACCCAGGCGCAGATTTATGTAACGTTTACGCACCGCGCAAGGGTGTCTTGGGAGCGCATCCAATAATGTTTGAAGCAACGCGAACATTTGCCGAACTAGCTGGGAGGCAAGGAGGGAAAAATGAGGGGGTGGGGGGTCTGCCGAGAAAAGGGAGGGGGAGAGGAAGAGAGACACGCATAGCTTTTAGTGGAAGTCAGACAGATTGTGCGCCAGAACGCAGGCGTGATTTCTGACTGGCTAAAGAGACATTATGAAAGATACTTCACTTGATACATCGAGTCAGTGTTAGTGGTCCCAGACTGGATACGTTGTTAAAATATAAGTGATGTATGACTGGAAAAAAACAACCTATAACTGGATACAGTGTAACAGGATAAATGATTTTGGACTCGGTAAATGCTAACAATATTGGATGGTTCTAGACTGGATATTGTATCAATATTTATTTCTGACGGGATATTTTGTAGCTATATCAATTATTTCTGGACACCTAGCAATATCAGTGTTCACTGACTGGATATATTGTAGCAATAAAAATGATTTCTGGCTGGATACATTGTTTCAATTTTAATAGTTTTTTTATTGGATACATTCTAAGCATATTCATTTTCTCAAACTGGAACACTGTAGCAATTTAAATAATTTCCGTACTGTAAATATTTCTGGTTGCATAAATTGTCACTTTTAATTGTTCCAGACTGGGTACATTGTATGTAAATGTTTTCTGACTGGATACATTGTTTTGATGTATTATAATATTATTAATCAGACTGGCTACATTGTAGCAATATGAATAATTTCTGAGTGGATATATTGTAGCTTTTTTTAATGGTTATGGAGTGGTATATTAATCGTTTTACTGGATATATTCTAATAATATAATGGTCTCAGACAAGATATATTGTAGCAATGTGAATAATTTCTTACTAGTAACAATATGAATGTTTTCTGACTGGATAAATGTCAACTATTATTGGTTCCAGACTGGTAAGCTATGTCAGTGCTATTTAACTGGATGCATTGTAATGTTAAGAGTGAGTAACTGACTGTTTGTATTGTAATAATATGAATGATTTCTGAGTCTGACTGGATAAATTGTAACTATTAATGGTTCCAAACTAGATACACTGTAGCTATGCATATTCTTTCTGTCTGGATACGTTGTAGCAATATTAATCATCCCAGACTGGATACATTCTAAACATTGTAACAATAACGGATGGGAAGACAATGGGAGTCCAGTGCGTTCGCGTCACGCGCTGTGGGCGCTGAAAGTGAACATATTGATCAGCGCTTTGTCGCTACATGTTTTTAAAGGCTGGCCTGTGTGTGTGTGTATGTGTGTGTGTGAAGGGGAGGGGGGACGCGAGGGAGCTGGTAGATAGGGAGCTTTTTGTGGACACAAACACAGGAATTATGTCGCTCAGACGTCCAGTCAAGTGCGCTATCCATTGTCTGCACTTAGGTGAAAGTTGCCGTGCTAATTCGCCCGCTTTCTGCTTTATAAATCGGAGGTCCTCTAGTGGTCGCTATGGGGAAACCTAGAGGACGCAGTGTCTCGTTCCCTACTCAGGGTACCATGGTTACATAAGTAACCTGAGACATTTTGCTTCCACTCGGTCGTAGTTTGCCCGCCACTGCAGTGCTAGTATGCCTAGAGAATACTGGATTAAAAATCTAGTCACTCAATGCACTAGCTTTAGTCTCTTTCACTGGATATGTGCATTGTATGAATGGTCACATATGTCAAATAAATTAAGGAATTATGTCTATTTAAACAGATTCTCTATATTGCATTTTAAAGATGTGAAAAATAACGTTTGGTTAGCTGATGCAGTGCATCTCAGATTTTATTATACATAAGGGGTATTTGTTGGTTATCGTTGAACCATAGAGAATTAATTGTTCATGGTTGAATTAAAAGATGAACATTGATGCATTAATGTTGACACTAAAGTCAAGTCACATTAATTTATATAGTGCTTTGTACACTCTAAAAAATTTGACCCAGCATTTTGAAAGCACGTGATGATGATTTCCTGCTGATTACAGAACCGGCTTTTTTAACAAAATGCGCATGACAATCGCATTCGATTAATCGTGCAGCCCTAACTGTAGGCCTATGTGTGCGCTCACTGTGTGGCTCAGTCTGACTGTGTGCTAAATACTGACCTCATCTTTGCCACTTCCCGTCCTCTGTGTGTGATGTGGCTAGACCAGAGCAGTCTCTGGGAAACCCTGACACAAAACTGCCGGCAATACACCACGCCACCCCCTTTCCCCTAGATGGGTTAAAGTTATCCGTTTACTGTGATTTCAGTACTTTGCACATAATCTCTCAAGTCATACTGTGGGAGTGGTTAAAGATTTCTATATCTAGCTATTGTTTGTGACTCAGGTTAACCAACATTCCAGGTTTTTTTGATTTTGCTGATTTTTCTTATTTAAGCCTGCCTTTTCTATTTTGCATGTCTAAATTAAAATCACTGCTAATGGCTTTGTTGGTAAACAGACGTGGTTTAATTCTGAGCGCTAATAAAATCTTCAGTGATACAGAAACTGTACACTTCTGTTCAAAATTTTGGGATCAGAAAGATTTTTTAATGTTTTTAAAATAAGTCACTTATGCTCACAAAGACTGTATTTATTTGATCAAAATAAGTTAAATACAGTAATATCATGTAACCATAAACTTTTGAATGGTAGTCTATGTTTAAATGAAAAGCTTTTATCATCAAATGTATTTACTTTCCAATTTATGTCCAATGCCATGGTCTTATCTTACCGTTAAAAAAAACATTGCATTTTCTGTGCTAATTTTGGCAGGAAATGTGTGAATTAGAAGTAAACTTGGTATGTTGTGTTTGTTGGTTTTGTGTTTCATGAGATCAGCATTTTTTAGTGTGAATTTACTAGAGAATGAAAATCCTCCCTTAGCTATTTTGTAATCCGGTAACTTGAGTAATCATTCAATCCCTATTCTGAATGAGTTGCTGGAAGCCGTGCACAGGAAGGTTCGCAGGAATTGTGGGTTGTGTGTGTTGTGAAACACCATCAGGGTTCTTCTTGTGACGGCGGCGGATGCAGTGTCATCTTGCCTGTCTGTTGGGCTGTCCCAGTTTAAGGGAGATGAAGAGGGGCACTCCTCCAGGGTGCAGAACAGCGTATTAATAAACTGTGAATGGTGACAGACAGATACCCATTATCTCTCCTTTGGAAATGCTCTCCGGCAACAGAAAGGGCCTCCATTGCATTGATGTAGGACCAGTTTCCCTGACCCGAACTCAACTGCAGTGTACACTGAAAAAAATTGCTAGGAAATTTCATAAGTAGAAAGACTGAGATTCTTGTGAAACATACTCCAGTAATCTCTGTTGCAGTTACAACTTCAAAAAATCATTACAGTGTATAAAGTGTGTTTTGACTTTGTTTGCAACTCTTTATTTTCTAAAAACTGTGGTTTCTGAAGGCATACAGAAAGTACAACACACCTGTTCACTGCCTAACAGGTTTGTAGTTCATATAAAAGCTGTACTGTTTATTGAGATGGTTTTAGGATGTAGAAAAGAGGAAAATGGCTGGCTTATTTTCTCAGGCTTGAGAGCTACACAGATAAAGAGAGCAGAAGTGAGTGTTAGTGAAGCTGTTTATAAAAGCATGACTCCTCTGGTATGTGTTTAGGACTGAACAATTCATCACAGTCATCAGTTTTGGCCGTTTCAAGGTAGAGGAAGTGTACATGCAATAATGGATTGTTATCCTGTTGTTAGTGTGTTGCTGTGTGGTTGTTAAAGGTGTAAAGGTATCTTAAAGGGATAGTTCACCCAAAAATGGAAATTCTGTCATTAATTACTCACCCTGATGTCGTTACAAACCTGGAAGACCTTTATTCATCTTCGGAACACAATTTAAGACATTTTTTTATGAAATCCGAGAGCTCTCTGACCCCGCATAGACGGCAAGGGTCCTACCACGGTCAAGGCACAGAAACGTAGTAAGGAGATCAATAAAATAGTCCATGTGACATCAGTGGTTCAACCGTAATTTAACAAAGCTACAAGAATACTTTTTGTGCGCAAAGAAAACAAAAATAATGACTTTATTCAACAATTCCACTCCACCTCACCTTAGGCACCACTATAGAGAGTACAACTCCTTGTTTATGAGCAAAGGAACACACATGCGTCGTGGTAATTAATGACAGAAGTTTCATTTTTAGGTGAACTATCCCTTTAAGTAGTTGTTATTAGCCCAAGTAGAAGAATCGGAAGTGTTTTTTTCTTGTCTCTTAAGATGTACCTCTGGTCCCTCATTCATTCGACTTTATGGCATGTTTTTAGATTCCTGATTGGTTAGAAAAGTAATATCACACGTATACTCAACAAGCTCTGAAGGATTTGATGTTTGGTGCATTTACACAAATGAAATGGGAAAAGTAGCGCACCCGAGGGATTTGAACAAACTTTGAACAAATTTAATTGAGCTGAAATGGCTTTGCAATGTATTTTGCAGTGTTTTTTTCCTTCCTCATTTTGACCAGAAGATGCATTCTTGTTGCTCAAGCAGTCAGCCTTTGCACTGGCAATGCCAAGGTCATGGGTTTGATTCCCAGGGAATGCATAACTGTTTAAATGTTTTCCTTGAATGCAATGCACACAAGTATTCAAAAGCTTGGGGTCAGTGAGAACTTTTTTTTAAATTAATTATTTTATTCAAGTATGCATTAAGTTAATCAAAAGTGACAGTATAGACATACGTATTTCTATTTCAAATAAATGCTGTTCTTTTGAACTTTCTATTTATCAAAGAATCCTGAAACAAAATGTTTTACTGTCTCCACAAAA